CATATCTATAAATCTTTTTTTTTTTTTACTCACCAAGTTCATTTTCCCCATTTTTTTTTTTCTGTTACATCTCTATTCTTATTCTCTTTTTTTTCTTCCAAAAAATAATTATTACATTAAAAATAGAAGTATCCACGGACAAGGAAAGAGCAGCCGGGGTCCTCAATTAATGAAAAATATGCAACTGGATGTTGAATATTTTAATAATTTTAGGATGTTTTAGAGTTAGAAGGAATAAAAATGTATGATTTATTATGTAATTGTACTGCCGAATCAGATCCATTTGGGTTGCAAGGATCATTGATATTTCGAAATTTGCAAGAATCATTACTAACTCTGTCAACAGGTAATAATTTCTAAAATTGGTTTAGGGTTTTTTTTTTTCAATAACTTTTTTATCTTTTTTTTAATAAAATCGAAATAATTATCATCAAAACAAAATTGGTAATGATTATTCTAATCTCTTCCAAAATGGTCATTCAAAATGCTCATGCAGATGGAAATGCATCAAGCTGACTGATTTTTTCATGTATTACAAAATATTGAGACTTGTAGAAGATAAATAGGATAATTTCTTTTTTTTTTCCTATTTCTAATGTGATTAATTCCTTTCAGTGTGAGATTGGATAAAATCACGCAACCTTTCTACAGTGAAAAGATTAAAAAAAACATATTTTACATAATAAATTATATAAAACTGACACTTTTATCAGACATATTTAAAATAAAAGACAATTAATATAGCTTCTTTAATAAAAAATAATCATTGACCTTCTTTAATCGCAATCTGTGTCAGAGTTTAAAGTGAGATTGAGTTCATTTTCCCTACAATCAAATATTACTGTTACCTTCCACCTAACAAGAAGTTAAACAAACCTAAATCATATTTTGTACAATTTTATAAAACTAAACTTAATAATGATTTTATAATAAATAAACATTGACTTGCATAAATTTTTAATAATTGATCAAAATTGAATGTCATTTTCTATTTCCTTTAAAATCTTGTCAAAATCATATTGGTTTAATACCTACCATGCCTAATATTACAAAACTTTTCTTAATATTATATAAATCATGGAACCTAAACATGTTATTCTAAATCTTTAACAAATCAAACATGACACTTAATTGGAGATAGAGAGTACATAATTAAACAAGGGATAATAAAGATAGAAGATAAGTCTATGGAAAGAGTTTGATTTCTATATCATTTGTCATATCTCATCCTACAACTTACATATGGGCAGACCATGCGTTTTCATAGCCTCCAAAGAATGGCCATTGTAATGTTGCCAAGATAAGAAAGAAATGGAAATAATGATTGCTAATGTATAAAGCAATTGATCTACCAGCGCTTCTTCTTTCTACCGCTTGTAGAAATTGCTAATGTGTAAATCAATTTACACATCTTTAGATTATTAAACTCACATGGCCATGTAGAAAAGTTCCAACCACAACACTATATTTGTAGAAATGTGAATCAATTTATCTACAAATGCCCAATATTTCTATAGATCCAATAGCTCTTTCGTCTGAATGGTCAATTCTGGAAGCCATAACCGAAACCCTACAACTAGACAGACCTTTTGCTGTCCAATGCTTCCTTGAGTTTTCTCCCCAATGCAAATGCCAAAGGAGGAGGAACAGCATTTCCTATCTGCCGGTGCTTGTGTTGAATGTTACCAGCAAACTGGTAGCCATCTGGGAAACCCTGTATTGGCAGATGAGAATTCATTAGAATTAAATCAAGATCTCTCCTCTCGGCAGCATCATATCAATGTTTCCACTTCATTATAGCTTGTTGAGTTACTGAGATGCCTGATAATGTCATCAACTGGATTGTGGGTTTCATTTCAGTAAAAAGAAAAACTACTATGATGGATTATGTAGCACATTTTGTATGTTGACTCCTATTCCACATGCACTTAACAAATTAGGCTTTCACAAGTATAGAAATATAAAACATCAATCTATCTTGCAGGCTAAACTGTATGGTCATTTACTCTTTATGTCACGCATACTCTTTAAGAAAAATACTTTAAACCTTAACCTATCACAAACTACAGTGGCAATGATTGTCAATAAGTTGAATGACTTACTTGAGACCGGGCACATTCACGAACTGTGAGAATCCTGTCCTGCTCAGGATGAAAGCACATTCCAACCTTTCCCATCGGTTGAGGGTCTGTGATGGAAGTTGGGAAGTTCCCTTCCCAATCCAACCTTCCAAACAGCCCTTTCCACTGATTGTGTCTTTTGGCTGTATTTGGAAGGCACCAGGGTATTAAATCTACCACTTGTCCAGTCGAGAGTTTTACCTGCATTCGTAAGGAAACAAATAAACCAGCAGTTCAAGAATTTCATTCTGGTAACATTTCAAAGGAACAGATACAAAGAACACCGGCTCTTATTGTACCTTCTCATCTGGAAGGTCATGCCAATCTGCACCTGGTCGCTTTGGAATCTTTTGACACCGAATCAGATTAAGCTCATTCATTTCCTTTGATATATGATCAGTCAGGACAGCCATGTTCCCTCGAATTTTCTTTTGAAACCATGAGATGGGTTCATTTTCATACTGTGGAAATAAAACATGGCAAATTAAATATGCGCAAATACAACCTTTAAAGCATGAAGAAATTTTAGAGACAATTTTCAATCTAGCTACCTCCAAATTTGTCTTTGAGGCCCCATTTCCTACAGCTGGCAGATCACCGATTGTATCTCTCACAGTAATTGCACGGAAAGGGGCTCCACTTGCAGTACTTCTCACAGCTGCATACTGCAAATTATTTGATAATGTGATTTTCAGCTCAGGCACAGCAAAGACATGCATTGGCTCTGGCCATTCCGGAAGAGTCTCTTCAGGGGAGGCTGCCCATATAAATGCTCGTTTTCTTGATTGGGAAACTCCATAGGCTCCAGCTTCCAAAATACCAAACCTCACCTAAATAGGCAAAACCAGAACATCAAAATACACAAGTGCATATACACTTATATATGTATCCTTATAACACAGATACATTCATGACAAACATTACTGATAGCTGCAATGAATATCTACCTGATAACCCATGTCAAGAAGTGAAGCCAGAGTTAAACGAAACGTCTGTCCTTTATTGAAAGACACAAAGTTCCTCACATTCTCTAGGAGGAAATACCTTGGCCGAAAGTAATCAGCGAATGACAAGAATGCTAAAATCATCTCACATTGTACTTTACTCCATGTACTTTGATTAAACCTATTCATTCCAGAGAAACCCTGCAAAAGTGAGACAGCTTTTCTTTTAGTGAAGCACTAACAAAGGAGAAGAAAAGGAAAGATAGAATCTCTATTACCTGGCAAGGAGGACCTCCATTGATGAAATCTACTTGCCCCGGCAAAGGCAAATTATTAATCTCTTTCTCATCTAGTGATGCAGCTAACTCAGCTGCCTCAGAAGTGGAGATACAGTCATCTGCATCCCCACACCTCTCCATAATAGCCCTACATCATAACCAGTTTATGAATTATTAGCCCTATAAAAAGGAAGTGAAAGAGGAAGAGAGGAGAGCCAACTTGTCATATTCACCTCAGAATCACATTACAGTTATTAATAAACACCAAAGACCCAGGATGATTGAGTTTAAATGCATCTCCAGCAGGCTCTTCATATTCGATTGCCCATTTAGTTAATGATGCACCTACATCAGTAAAAACACAGAACGGTTGAACATAAAGTGCTTTAGAAATAAATATGGCCAAACACATTAAGGTTGATGAAATGAGCACAAGGTAGACAGATACCAGATTGCTGCAACCCCTCTGACAGGCCACCACAACCTGCAAATATGTCTAATGTAGCCAAGCGATTCTCCTGAGCTGCTTCTCTTTGTTTCTTAACTTCAGACTCATTCTCCCCCTCTTTACCCTTTCCCTTTTTCTTTTGATATGCAATGTCATTGTCCACAATTCCAGTGGAGTACCTTAGTTTGATCTGAGTGGGTAACTGCTCACAGAGAATAAAAAAAAGAAAGGAGAAGGGGGGATGGAGTTTAGAGAAATAAATTTATCCTCCGATTGTATTAACTCTTTTTCACATGCAACCAATATTTTCCATGAAAATAATTGCAGAAGTTGCATTATCAAAGTATACAACAGAAGGAAGAAAAAGCCACTTACCTGCTTGAGGGAACCTTTGGAAGGATCATAAATGCGATCACAAAAAAAGATATGATGAAAGATTGCTGGAGCATTGGCTTCTGGAAGGTCATTCCTCTTTCTGACTTCACATTTCCCTCCTATTGCCTCAACAGACAAAATATGTGTTTCTTCACTATAATAGACCTGGAAATGATGGCCATATTAATTTATGAAATATCCATGGGAAAAAGAAAATTTTTACTGTGTAAACTGAAAGTGTGATAATATGAAGTTCAAACTAAAAGTCATCACATTTTAAGGTTAGCTTCTACCTCTCGAATATCAGAAGAGTAAGCTTTCTCAGATGAAATGTCCTCTGGCCTGAAAAATCTCCTGACTTTAATCTGGGTGGACTCCTTTCCAGCTCTTTCCTGTTCTTTTGGTACAATGATCTCCAGCACTTGGCACACAACATAAGGCTTCAAGCCTATATTCCTCCCACCTTTAAAGTTTTCATTCTCAGCCCTTTCTAGTGCAAATTGATGGGGGCTTACATAGACATAATCATGGACAGAGTACTCAATTCCCCTGTACACAAAGCCTGTCTTTAAAGAATTCACTTTAAACATTTCTTTGTCCTTTCCAACATCCTTAACTTTGCAAGAGTAACAGAAACCAGAACCCAAACCCAAACTATCAAAGGGAAGCCTAAAGAAAGCTCCCCTATCAGGGCAATACAAGCTTTTGCAATAATACTCCATTGGCAATCCTTTTCTCTTCCGCTCTTCTGCTTTTGTTTTATCAGATTTGGCCATGTTGGCATTATCTTTCCGGTGCTGATATCCCCAAGGAACTAACCGAATATCCACAACAACAGTCTGTTTCACATCCTCCAATTCAAAATCCCCACAATCATTTGTTAGAAACACCTCTCTCTCATTAGCAGCATTGCCCAGTACAGTTTCAGATCCTCTCTGCATCATCCGTCCATGAAACATTTTGCTTCCCTCTGATGATTCAAACATGTATTCCACAAAATAGATAGCAGGAAGTTCATATGAATCAATTTCAACAAGAACAGCACTTCCAACAACAATTACCTCTCCATAAA